TACTACCAACTATCCTTTTATCTCATATGCTAGTTCTGTTTGGGGAATTTTACACGTTCTGAGGCAGCCAGTATTGGCTGCTGTCAAACACATGAGATTGGATTAGGTGGATTAGCATTCTGTCCCGATATGCCAATTTCCATGTTATTTTCCTGAGTTACATCTTGGTAAATTAATTAATAGATTAAATCATGATAAAAAAGCATGTTGCACAAGAAATGTTGGGGTGGAATCATTTGATGTTCGTGAATTACATTGGATTTTAGCTTAGTTTGCTGCACCATAGTCTACCCTTTGATTGAATTTTACTTTGATACATGGAACTTCATTGACTTGTCAATTCTAGGAACAAGTTTCTCCTCCTCAGCTATGAGATATATTCCCCAAGTGGAGAATTGGTGGCAAGGATGAACAAATATTTATAACTAGTCTTGGAATGATTAGATTTTAATTGGCCATTGCCAGTGAACATGCATTTCACTATACAAACACAAACTCAGGCAAACTAAGAAAAATCCTGCTTGAGAATTTATTAGAGTTTGATTTTTCGGATACGCACTTTGTATATTTTGACAGGTGATTTGGCAGTTTGTTTTGTAATGGTAATAAAGCTTTAACTTTTTGAATGTCAGCACCTACTGTGATTAAATATTAGCTGATCTCCCTAATAACTTTCTGCAACTCTGAAAAATCAAATCCATAAAAATAGAAAAAGGCTTAAAATATATATTACCCATTAAAAATATAAGAAATGAAATTGAATTCTGCTCAGCCTATTTGTAATCCTGCTTTTGCCCGAATTATATTCAGATGGTTGAATTTGTTGCCAAAATGTGTGCTATAAGGCAAATAAATTTGCTGTGTCTATTCCTAATGAATGCCTTTTAGTACAGCTCAACAACCACTTGCATGGTAGCATACAAGGTTTTTATTCTTTTACATGGTTGCTTGCGTGACTGGGGTGTGTGTGTGCGGATGATGAGGTTATGAGGAGGTGCCTTCGCATCTCCTAAACCCCGAAGACCCCACTGGAACTAAGATGCACATTTTTAGCAGAGAGAGTAATTAACCGTTATGCTAGCAGCTGTGGTACATTATTCTATGCTGAACATTTGTAAGACAAGATGGGAGTTAAGAGATGCTGGCCCATACTAGCTAATTTCAGGGAAGTTCTATGGCCTGTGTTAGACAGGAAGTCGGACTTGATGGCCACAGTGGTTACTTACAGCCTTCCTTATGAATTGCTCTATTTAGCAACATTGCATGCCCCTCCTTCTGCCTTGAGAGGACTGGCTGGGAAAGCGCCACTCCATTCCTCAGTAGTCTGGAGGGATTGATGTGAAGTGACATGAGACCTGCCCTTTTTCCTTCTCCAAAGGCTAAGTACATAGCTTCCGCGGTGTACTCTGGCCAGCTTTCCTGAGGGATAGCGCAACACCCGGGACGGAGCCCCACGGGGTTGTGCTTTCCCTCAAGGTTACTGCCAGATGTTTCCACTGGAAAGGGTCTTTTGACATCCTCGTTCCATGTAGGCAATACACATGGTGTGGGGAAAAGACTAGCTGTGGAGGAGGGGGAGCGGGGTGGGACGGGAAGGGGCAGTGGAGTTCCAAAGTCATGTTCTCGTCCTACGCAGAAGTTGGAGGGAGAGAAGGAATCCGATCAAAGAATAGGAAGCTTTGTTTCAAACTCCAGGTGTTGCCCGGCTATTGTAAGCACTACAATACCACACTCCAAGTACAATTTAAGTGCTAAAAGCCAGGCTATCTTCCAGGTAGGCCCTGGCACCAGAAGGGCTGTTAGCAATTCACTGACAGCGGAACAGAGACATTTTAATTGTTTCTTTTGCTGTGGAAAGAGAAAGACAGAATGTTTGTGCTGCTCAGAAAGAGCTGTCAATTGAGATGAAAATAGGTTTTTTAAAAATGTCTTCTGTGCCTGCATTACATACCGCACTGGTGGGTCCATGCATAAATAGAACTAAGGTAAAAGTAGCATTTAGAATTTTGCCTGGGTCTGCTGTGGCTTCAAAGCATCTTATGAACATTCCTTCCCCCCCCCTTCTCCCTTCCCATCACCAACAAGATCCAATCAAATCCAGTTGGGCTAACAAGCCTTGTCTGAAAATCTTGGGGTAGCAAGGAGTTTTTATAACCTCTCACTGCTGGCCCCACAGTGCTGGTCTGTTGCTACTGCTTTCTTATAACTAGGGTTACTGTACATTGGGTTCCCCAACAGAGGACACTGCTGGATGGTGGGAAGGAGAGGGAGAGTTTGAGGGTGCTGGAGGGGTTTGTGCGCTGGGAGAGGTACTACACCGATGCTGGGAGGGGTCCTTGGGACTTGGACAGTGTCTCTCCTTGTCGTGGTGGCAGGGTGGCTAGCGCAGACTTGGCCATGCAGCAACAGCCATCTGCGAGCACCTCCCTGGGAGGGTCTTCCCCTCTCCAGGACCAGGATCCAGCAACTGCAGCTTCCGGAGGGGGACCAGTCGAAGCCCAGAGACGGCTTCTTCTCAGCTGCAACATCTGATCTGCAAAAGTCCCGGACGTTGCCTCTTATTCAAAAAATCTGCCCGGACTGAGGGTGGAGGATCAAAAAAATTCCAGATTTCCCCGGACAAACAGTAACCCTGCTCATGGGAGGAATTTGAAGCTTAGAGATTTACCGGAGAGCGAGAGAGAGAGCACGGGCTGGCTCCCTCCCCAGTCAGGAGACACTGCTAAGGAGGAGGGATTCTTATTGAGTCTCCCCCATTGTGTAGAACTCCCGGATGGTTCTGTGGCAGAGACGGGGTTTACCGCATCCTGGAATTTTTGCTGCAAGGCTCTGCAAAGGTCTCCGCCTGCATTGAGGCTCTTGACAAGCAGCAGGCTCGGGGGGAGTCACACCACATTGGTTCTTCCCTCCCATAAAAGATAAATCTTTGTTGCTGAAAAGCTTCTTGGGGCCCCCTGTAGTGGGGAGGGAGACTGTACTGTGAAGGCACCTGGGCTCCTCTTCTCTGCAGAGGAAGAGAGGGTTTTGTGGGTGCAGTATCCTCTCCATCCTGAGATCTCGGGGGCCGTGCTGTGGTCTCAGATTGGGTCAACGTGCGGATTTGCTGTGACTCAGCTAGTGTAGAGTTTGGATGGAGGCTACTGTGGTGGGACCCAAGGAGTTCTGCAAGGCATTATTCACATAACGGATGGAGAAAACATTTCTCCCTGAGCCTGGGCATCTTCAGGTGGCCTGTTTTAAAGAAACAAAAGACAGGACTATGCAGCACTTTAAAGACTAACAAAATGGTTTATTAGGTGATGAGCTTTCAATAGGACTATGTAGCACTTAAGCTCATCACCTAATAAACCATCTTGTTAGTCTTTAAAGTGCTGCATAGTTCTGTCTTTTGTTTCAGCAAGACCAGACTAACACGGCTGCATCTCTATTACTGTTTTAAAGAGGTGAAGGAGAAACAGCAATAGCCTTCCTGGTCTGTGTCTTTTTAGAAGTAAACCCCTCCCTCCCAACCCAATTACTTCTACAACCAGACTGTGCACCTCTGTTTCCCCGTCTGTATGCCTCTCTTACATCAAGTGACACCATTAACAGCGAGCCCTCCCTATTTTGGGGTGCTTCGTTAGCATCCGCTTTCCAAGATTGCCCTGCTGTGGACTGACTCCTTCAGGGATGTGTTGCAAGCTGGCTGGTGTGTGTTTGATATAAATCCTTAACTAAAATATAGAAGAAAATGTGCTTGGGGTGAGAGCTGCTAAGGCTAACGTGCAGCAGCAATGTGGAAGGCAGAGAAGATTCTGCTTCAAGCATGCCGTGTGTTGAGCGTTTCCCCAGCTTGTGGTGAAGCATCCAACTTCCTGAAAGCTATTTTAGGCTGTGTCTAATCTGTCCGTTTTAGGTATTTCCATGGCCTCATCACCTGCTCTCTAAGTACTCTCTGCTTGCGGAAGGCGCTGAGTATTTTGTATCCTGTTAAAATGCCATACATAGACAAAAATGATCAAGACACATGTTTCCCCACCTACTTTTTGAGCCGTGTTTGGACTGGAGTGAGGAGGATATGGTAACAAACAAGAAGTTTCAGTCCGTGTGCTCTTGGGTCATGGACAAAAAAGAATTCTGGAAGTTCAATCCCTCCCTCAGAGCAAAACAATATATAATAATCCTTTTTTTTTAACTCATTGGTGGTATTCCTTTGCAAATGTGGCTGCCTTCTTCACAAGCTCTGTAATTCATTGGTAATGGCTCTGGGTAAGTAGTCAATTATATTGAGAAACTTCTTATGCCTTCAACAAAAAGATTAAAAGAAATGCTCCTAGCACTTTAGCATTCATAAGTAGTTGGTTATTAGTTGCCTAGTTACCAAAGCATTAGGTTTCCATTTAGGGAAGCAGTGCTGAATGTAAAATCTCAAACAGTTTTGCCTTCCATCTCAAGTACACTTGACCTCAAGCTAAACAAACATTTAATTTAAGTGCAGTGTTTCAGTGTCAAAATTGTTCTCATTTTAAAAATAGCCCATGTCCTCTGTCTGAGTTTATTTGCCAAATATAAGAAACTTCTGTTTTTACACACACAAAAATCCATTTGGGACGATAGGACACATGGACACATTTCATGTAATGACCCAATAAACTAAAATGTATAGATTATTACTGAATTGTAATTGAATATTCCCAGGCAAAAAAAAAAAAGGCATCAAACTGAGGTTTGAATTTACATATTAGTATATCTCAGACCTGAATGTGAAAGTCCTCATAAGAATGTTGTAGACACTGCAAAATAAACATTGGGGAAAAAAGGAAATTCTGAATGAGATTTAAACTTAAACACAAACCTTTTGTACCTTCCAGGGAGAGGAGGGGAATCATTTTGGATTTTGGAAGTTTAAAAGGAGAACAAAGGGTTACTCCACTGTTCATGTATCTTTCTTGGTCACATTTTCCCATTTACTCTGTCTGTCTGTCTATCTAATCTCACTCATCCATTCATTTGTTTTCCAGATGTTAAACCATCGAACATTTTGGTAAACTCTAGAGGTGAAATCAAGCTTTGTGATTTTGGTGTCAGCGGACAGCTGATAGATTCAATGGCAAACTCATTTGTTGGGACGAGGTCCTACATGTCTGTAAGTACAGTTCTTTCAGCTTTGAGTTTACTATCTGCATTGTGGTTTAGTTTTAGATTACTATCTTCTCCATTTAGATTAGACGTGAACCAGCAACTGAGGCTCCAAGCCTGAGCTTTGTGAGTGCTGTTAAATCGCAGAAAAATTGTCACAGCACCTCATTTTTTGCCTGGCTCTGGTATTTTGTTTTTATTTTTCTTCTGATTAGGAACACTGGAAGAGCAACTCATTTTCAACTGACACATCACTTCCAAAGGTTGGAGGTCTAGCCCAGTCCCATGAAATATCACATCACAGTGGTGATTCTGCTTAGTCTTTGAAGTAGGGTTTTAAGTTCATTCTTTTGCAAGCAATTACTAATATTTGTCTCTCTTAGCACGTGTCTCTCTTAGCACGGTTTTCAAACTATGGATGAAAAGACTTGATCTGAGGAAGTGGGTCTGGCCCACGAAAGCTCATCACCTAATAAACCATCTTGTTAGTCTTTCAAGTGCTACACAGTCCTGTTTTTTGTTTCAGCTACATCAGACTAACACGGCTACATTTCTATCACTTTGCTGGACTGTGATTCTCTTGCTGGCAACATCTGATTTTGATGTCTCAGTATAGAGAGATTAAGTTGGAGCTATTTTGCACATAGTTCTGATGCACTTAGTGTCATAGAGGTCATTTTCAGGGCTACTTCCATGCTGCGTGCTACTTCTCATGCATTCACTTTTATTTTTCATCTAATACTCTAGCAAACTCTAGAATTTATCCCTTTTTGGATAAAGACCAAGGGATGTCTTTCTTGAGGCCCTGAAATCTGGTAGGTTATCTAGAAGAGCTTTGGCTCTGACTCGTGTGGAACATTAGAGAAGGTTTTAAGTGCGGACTCGCAGAAATAGTATGTGGTTAATAAAATGCCAATTACACTTGTCATAGTGGTTCAAGATTGTGATCGGTTAAAGTAGTGGTCTCCAGCCTTTTTAACCCCAAGATCACTTTTTCAAATTTAAGTGCAATATAAGATCTACCTCAAACCCAAATACCCTTGCTCCACTTCTTTCCTGCCCCTTCATAGAGGCCCTGTCTCTACTCCACCCCTTCTTCAAGGTCTTGCCCTGCTTACTCCATTCTCCCTTTCTCCCCCATCCTTACTAACTTTTACCAGGCTGAGGTAGGGGGTTGGGTGCAGGCTCTGGTCTTGGGCCAAGGGGTTTGGAGTGTGGAGGGGGCTCCGAGCATAGGGTGCAAGTTCTAGGAAGGAGTTTGGGTGCAGGGAGACTCATGTCTGAGACAAGTGGTTGGGTGTAGGAGGAGGTTCAGGGCTGGGATAGGGATTCAGGAAGCAGGATCTGGCTGGGTACTGTTTAACTGAGATGGCTTCTGGGTGGTGGAGCAGTGGATTAAGGCAATCTCTCTCTGTGGAGGTGGGGGGAGGAGGGACATCCTGACATCAGCACTCCTCCTCTTCTCCCTCCCACACCCTGCACAGCAGGCAGGAGGCTCCCATGGGGGCAGTTCCAAGGCAGAGGGCAGAAGCAGCAGGACAGTGGGTGGAGGGGCAACTGAAAAACTAGTGCTCCATAGCTTCCCAGCCAAACCAGTCAGGATCACCTCTACTGGTTATTGGCCACTGGGTTAAAGGGTTTGACCACTCTAACACCCTATAGCAACAGCGTGCAACCCTTGGGGGGTCGCAGCACTGTGATCTGGCTTGGTGCCTGATGGACACGTGGCGGGGGTGGGGAGAGTGTCAGGGGAGCGGCCCAAGAATTAAAGGGGCCACGATTGCCCCTTTTTGTGCTCAGCAAAATTTCCGGCACTTTTTTGTTTTTGTTTTTGCTCAACAACTTTGGGTCCAGTCAAGGAGGTACAGGATCTTTCAAAAAAGTTTTTTTTTTTTTCGAAAGAACCATGTCTAGACAGCAGTTTCACTTTCAAAATCCCCTTTTTCGAAAGAATGTGCGGCTGCCATTATGCAAATGAAGCACGGGAAATTCAAATCCCGGCTTCATTTGCAATTTTGATCTGCCTAATTTACATCCCTCTTTCAAAAGAGGGATGTAGTCTAGACATGCCCATGGACATGCAGAGAACCTTTTCAAATGTTTTTCATTGGGATGGCTGGACTAGTTAGACTGTCTCTGAAATACTTGTTTCACTTCCCCAGTGTATGATTCGATTTTAAAAAACAAAATCATACTTTTAGTTAATTCTGTGCCATCTGTTAGAGACGGTCCTGCCTACGTAACTTCCCACTTGCTCAAAGGTTGCTTGGCATGAATGTGTATACATGTATACTGCATTTTTAATCTGTACATGAGAGGTTTTTTTCTCTTGGTCCCATCTGTGCTCTAGTCTTTCCTCAGCAGAACACAATCCTAGTAACGTTACATGTCGACATCTGAATGGTTATGAACGAACCCATCCCACATGGAAACTATTTGAAATATAGTTCTACTACGTTTCTATACTTGACAATAACGCAGTCCAAGAAACCCGCATGCAGTGCATTTTACAAGCGAAACGTGTTTAAACAGGACAGGCTCTCACTTTTGAAAAACCTTTTAAATAATTTTAGTGTTTTCTACCAAAATAAAATAAGTATTTTGAAAAAGAAGCATCTGTTTGCCTGCTCCATTAACTACAGGAGCTGGGTTTCACATTTCACCTCTCCTGAGTCGAGCTATGTAGCCTGCAGTTGGCAAATTACTCCTTTGAAATACAGTAAATAGATGCACATGGGTGTGTCCAAGCCCCAGTTTCATTGTGTCACAGGAAAGTTGGCCTTTTAAAGGGAGTTCAGGGACCTGTTTCTGTGGGTACCTAGTTTCTGGCCGGAGCAGAGGCATTCTGGGACTGTAATTCCTCGGGGTATGGGAACTGTAGGCTATGCAACAGTGTAGTGGAAAGCCAGGTGGAATTTAAGGCTTTCACAGAATGCACTACAGCACAGTCTGCAGTTTCAAGGTGCCCTGGAGAGATAAGGTGGGTGAGGTAGTATCTTTTATTGGAACAATTTCTGTTGGTGATAGAGACCAGCTTCTGAACTTACACGGAGCTCTTCTTCAGGTCTGGAGAACTTGCCATCTCAGAATGCCTCTCTTCCGAACAGAAATCTGATGTAGGTAGAGGCTGGACCTTGAAACTCATTAAAAAGGCCAGCTTGCCTTGTGACATTTAGAAAATCTATAAAGGTTTCCTCCTCTTTCTCTCTTTAGGAAAAGGGTGAATTCTTGATTGTCCAATAATAACTTTGATTTTCTTATCCTTTAATTTACATGCAAGTTCTAGCAATGAATTCTGTTGCAATACTATACTGCTAGCTTAAACACTATCACTTCCTGTCACGAAAAATAGGACCTCACCATTAATCGAATGTTTTAAATGTTTCATTGAAGGTACATTTATAAAATGGGTATCTGAGTTGTGCTACTGACGGCTGGTGATTGAATTCAGTTTTTTAAATTATAATGACTGTCTTTTATTGTGAAAGATCAAGTACCTGAGGTTTGCAGAACTGATGACAATTGAGAGTACAGATACTTTAAAAAAGTTAGTTATGGACTCACTGAAATCATAATGATTTTTAAATGGTCAGTCACATGCTCAGGTGTTTATTTTATTCATCACTCATTCATGATCCAGGTTATTGTGATGTGTGATTTCTCTTACCTATTCCAGTGTTTTGCCCTTTTTTGTAGCCGGAGAGACTTCAAGGTACCCATTATTCAGTGCAGTCAGACATCTGGAGCATGGGATTGTCACTGGTAGAAATGGCCATTGGCAGATACCCCATTCCCCCGCCTGATTCCAAGGAGCTGGAGCTGATGTTTGGCTGCCCTGTGGAGGGAGACTCTTCCGTTTCTGAGACTTCACCTAGACAAAGAACACCTGGCCGTCCAATGAGCTGTAAGTGACTGATGAAGCGTGACAACTGGATGGGTTTGATGGGAGGAATGTATGGCCCAGAGGTGCAGAGCAGGGTCGGGGAAGAGGGAAAGCCAAATTCACACTGTCCCCTTCCAGCTCCTTGGGGATCCCAGGAAGAAGTATTAGAACTTTGCTGTCTATACTAAGGGGCAATGTTGAACTATGGTACGCAACTCCAGTGACATGAATAGTGTAGCTGGAATCCATCTACCTTACATCCAGTTACTGTGACTTCTCCACTGTGCGGGGGTGGGGGAGTCGACGTGAGAAACTCTCCCATCGACTGCCCTTACTCTTCTTGATCTGCTGGAGTGCTGGAGTTGACAAGAGCGTGATCACTGGTCGCTTTAGTGGGTCTTTACCAGACCTGGTAAATTGACCTCTGGGTGATCATTTCGGTAAGTATAGACAAGCCCTTTGTCAGGGAGGTCTGCCTGTAACTAGGGATGTTAAATATCCGTTAACTGAATAGTTGATTCACCTCATGAATTCTTATTGGTTACTCGACTATTCTGTAGTACCTGGAGGTGGCCCAGCAGCCAGTGCACTAAGGCCCCACTCCTGAGGGGCCCCCTGCTACTTTGTGCTGCTGCCTCTGTATCAGAGGCAGCAGCACGGGGTGCCAGGCGGGAGCTGGTCTTCGAGGGGAGCCAGTTTGAAAACCAGCTCCCCCTGCAGACCAGCTGCCAGTGCAGGGTGGCACCAGCTCCTGTCCGGGGAATTGACTGCTTGTCGCCCCACACAGGATGGCAGCAGCCCCCATCGTAGTGGGGGGGCTGAGCTCCTGGACCTGGCATGAGCCAGGACTGAGTCGGGCTGCCTGCCTGCCTGCCCAGCTTCTAATACACTTTAAATGCAGAGCTGCCGCAGGGGTAGGTCCCAACCTGTGGCAAGCCAGGACTGAGCTGGGCTGCTGGCCAGCCTGCTAAAAAATGTATTGGCGGGGAGGAAGGGGAGAAATGCGTGTAGTCTATAGCATTAACCTATACGCTTTTGCTTATCGGTTAATCGGTTAATTGACACACTATTATATCCCTACCCGTAACCTCCCGCAATGGGACAATGTGTTTGAAAGAGCAAAGCCGCGGTATTGTCAGCCACTGAATGCATCTCTACTTTCTTCTACAAACAGTCTGTTTTATTTTTCAATATATACATCATCCATTTCTAGCTTACGGACCAGACAGCAGGCCACCAATGGCAATCTTTGAACTTCTGGACTACATCGTCAATGAGGTAAACAGGGGTTTACATCTGGCGGGAAGGACTCCCTTTTAAACTGCTAGAAATAAAGAATTTGAGATTCTGGGATCCATAGTTAAGTGTTTCTTTACTGTATATTGTAAACCAAGCCTCTTAGCTCTTTTTTTAAAATACAGTGGGCCAAACTCATCCCTTGGGCAAATGCACTGGCTTCAATTCAGGTATTAGAGCTCTGTGTGTATACAAAATTTGTATCCACGTCTGATCAGCAGTCTCCAAAAATGGGTGGTGGGTATCTGTGTACACTGATGTGGATATTCTTTCACAGAGATAAAGCTGATATTTCTGGACTTGCACGGCTCTTCAAGTTACACTGGCATACTTTTGGCCCAATCTATTGCAACCTAAGATCAGCCTTTATCTAGGTCTGTGGCTGTCCAATGACCCACATACTTATGAGAGATGGTGGCAAAGAGCAGTATCAAGTGACTCCATAACTATCTCTGTTTTACCACGTTAATTGTTACGGCTATACAGTAAGGCTGTGTCTACATTGGCACCCTTTTCCGGAAAAAGGATGCTAATGAGACAAGTCAGAATTGCAAATGCCGCGGGGGATTTAAATATCCCCCGCGGCATTTGCATGAACATGGCTGCTGCTTTTTTCCGGCTCGGGGCTTTGCCGGAGAAAAGCACCAGTCTAGACAGGATCTTTCGGAAATTGCTTTAGAAAAGCGCCAGTCTAGATGGGATCTTTCGGAAAATAAAGCCTTTTCTGGAAGATCCCTTATTCCTGATTTTAAGAGGAATAAGGGATCTTCCGGAAAAGGCTTTATTTTCCGAAAGATCCCGTCTAGACTGGCGCTTTTCTCCGGCAAAGCCCCGAGCCGGAAAAAAGCGGCAGCCGTGTTCATGCAAATGCCGGGGGGGATATTTTAAATCCCCCGCGGCATTTGCAATTCTGACTTGTCTCATTAGCATCCCTTTTCCAGAAAAGGGTGCCAATGTAGACACAGCCTAAAAGTTTAGCTACACTGTTAGAGGATGTCAGTTTTGAAGTGGTGGTTTTATGTTTTAGGACACAAATACTTGTTAGAATTTGCTATCAAGTTCTGACTCCCCAGCTACAACTAAACTCACATAATTCCAGTGCTTGTGTCCTTATAGTTTCTTCTATGCACTGGCAAGGGCTGACCTGCCATAAAGAACAAGAGAAATCCCAGTATCAAAGAATCAACAAACTACTAACCACTAAAGCAGAGGTGGGCAATAATTTTTGAAAGGGAGGCCCACTCCAAGAGTCAAGGGCCACACATGTCCATGATATTAATGGGAGAGGTGTCTGGTCTGTGATGGTGGTTGGAGGAAGAAAGGAGTTCTGGATAGGGGATGGGAGTGCAGGAGGGAGTGGGGGGCCTGGGAGGGAATTTGGGTGAAGGAGAGGATTGTGATCTGGGGTAGGGCATTGGGATGTAGGAGGGGGTGCAAGGTCTGGGAGAGTGTATAGATGCAGGAGAGGATTCTGACCTGGGGCAGAGGTACAGGAGGGTGTTTGGGTTGTGACATGGGGCAGGGGATTGGGTTAGAGGGGCTATGGGTGCAGAGGGTTTGGATTGTGGCCTGGGATGGGGATGGGGGTGCAGAAGTGGGATGCATACAGGATTTGAGTTGTGACCTGGGGCAGGGATACAGGAGAGGGGCAGAGCGTTGTAGGAAGAGGGGGAGTGGAGTGCCAGGTGCAGGTGCTTGTCAGCAGGTGCTTACCCTAGGTGGCTCCTTGGCAGCAGCCCAGCATGAGCCTCAGGCAGGTTCCCTGTCTTCTGCGCCGCTGCACACCCCTCAGTGCAACTGGCTGAGGGGTCCTGTGCTCTCTGTGTGCCGCATGCTCCTTGAGGGGGAAGTGGCTTCCACACATTCCCTGTGCTACAAGCATGGCGCAGGCGACTCCTGTTGGCTGGTTTCTGACCAATGAGAGTTGTGGGACTGTGCTGGGGTGGGGGCAGTGTGTGAAGCACCCTCCTGGGTGCGCGGTGCGCTGAGAGCAGGTGCCTCCCACAGCTAGCCGCTTTGAACAGCGTGCTGGGGCCGCGGGACAGGGGGCTGTTGTTTTACCTTTCCCTGTACTAAAGTCAAAGAAACTACATATGAGTACCAGCGATCCACAGCCAGGCATTTCTAGGACACTCATAATTACCAAAAAACGAAAAAACAACGAATGGTCCTGCAGCACCAGTCAGCGTGAATGTTCGGTTCTCCTCAGGTACAAGATTTTACCTGAGCTACTGGTTACGTTACTGCATCTGTTGCTACATGACTGAATGCCTGGCATGCTCCTAGTTTAGAGAGCTTACAGTGCCTCTCCTTGATCCGTGGCATAGACTTAAAATTGTGTGTCACTGCGGAATCTTGCCCCGTGGAGTGAAAATGATGTTAAAACCTCCTGGCTGATATTTGGCTCCTGCTCTTTATTCCTCGCTGCCTTTAGTCGTCGGACACTGCGATGGAATGAGACGAGTCTGGCTACAAATGAACGCGTGTGCGTGCAAACCCTTGTACTTTCATCATCCTCACAAAGAACCTGCCTCTGTCTTCCTTTTTTTTTTTTTTAAATAAGAACTCACTGAGGATTCATGTTTACAGCCCATTAGCAATGTAGGTAGAAAATTGTTTCAAACTCCGACTTACTGCCGAGTCCATGACCCTGCAAACACTTCTCGTTCCATAGTAAACGCGAGTGCCCAGGCGTTACCATGGCAACGCTAAGGCTACGTTTTCCTGCCTGAAGTGCAGCTGCTGCGGGCTTACTCAGTACACTCCGGCCCTGCTTGTGCAAACACTTGCATGAGGAGCTGTGTGCAGACGCACAGGCCCATTGCTCCTGTACATGAACTTACTCCCTAGTGTGTTTGACATAAGTGTATAGATTTAATGCTCGTCCTGGAGTTCAGTGGTTCTGTTGCTTTCTGAGCCCCCCTCACCCTCCAACATGCTGTAAAAACTCCACAGCAGCTGCCACAGCAACTCTTCTTCTGCATGACCAGGAAATCCAAAGGCAGGGGTGGCATTAGGGGGTAGCAAGCAGGGCAGTTGTCTGGGGCCTCCTAGCACAAGGGACCCGCAAAGTTAAGTTGCTCAACCTTTAGCTTCAACCCAGGGCAGTGGGGCTCGGTCTTCAGCCCCAGGCCTCACAATCTAACACTGGCTCTGCTCTCTGGTTTGTTTTGGCAGATCCTAGCTCCCTGGTTGTGAACATAGAGGACATGTGGTGGGTGTATGTGGGGCTACATGCACCCCCAAGGCAAGGGATCAGGGCTGGCCAGCAGCTGGCAGGGGGCTAGCAGCTGGAAGGCTGGCACCAGCAGTGGCAGGTCTCCCCTTCCTGTGTTCATTGGCAGCAGCAGCAGGGAAAGCACAGGGTGTGTGGCCCTGGCTGCACCGCTCCAGGCAAGATGGAGGACTGCCCCAGCACGCCCTGGAAGGGGAAACAGCACGGACCAGAGACGCCTCCCTGCGCTTTCCCCACCACTGCTGCCAGTGAATGCAGGGACTGTGCGTTGCGGTCTCCTGCTGCTGGCACCGCCCCACCCTGCAGCCCTGTTAGTTCCTCCGGTCGCCTGGGCTGGGGGGAAGAGGAGGAGTGAGGAGGAAGGGTGGGCAGTGGAGTAGGGGCAGGGAAAGGCAGGGGTTGGGGCAGAAGGGGTTGTCCTGGCTCTTTGGGCAGGGGGGTGGGGCTGGTGCCCCTCTCCTTCCCCTGCCTAGGAGGAGTCCTCTGGTTGTGGACCACTGTGGTGGTTAACAACATGGGGGGGAAGGCAGTGTCTCCTCAGCTTTACATTAAATAACTCCTGTTTTATCCAAATGCTTGGATTTTAGATTATGATTTTGAATACAGAACCTGAGTGCATTCATTGCCTGTGGTGGGATGTTTACATTAGGCTAGAAATCGCATGCAAACAAAGATGTTTTCTAAATTGCCACCCCCTGCCATGAAAAACGGCAATGTGTACAAATCAAACCCTACAGGACCTACTTGCTGGAGGGCTGCTTGAAGCCCTCATTGCTGGCAGCTATACATAGAATTAGGGGTCACCAAATGAAATGAATAGGTAGCAGGTTTAAAAGAAACAAAAGGAAGTTTTTCTTCATGCAGCGCACAGTCAACCTGTGGAACTCCTTGCCAGAGGATGTGGTGAAGACCAGGACTTTAACAGGGTTCAAAAAGAACTAGGTAAATTCATGGAGGATAATTCCAGTAATGGCTATTAGCCAGGATGGGTTGGAATGATGTCCTTGGCCTCTGTTGGTTAGAGGCTGGAAAGGGATGATAGGAAAGGAATCACTTGCTGTTTACCTGCTCTGTTTAATCCCCCTGGGGCACCTGGCATTGGCCACTGTTAGAGAGGACACTGGGCTAGATGGATCTTTGGTCTGACCCAGTGTGGCCGTTCTTACGTAAAAACAAACATAAGCTGTGCGGGGGCGAGTCAGTCATCGCCAGGTAACATTTCCAAAGAAGCGAAAGGTGGTGAAGAGCATACAGCTAACATGGGGACATTAGCCGCCTCGAATATTTTAAATAGAGAGGTGCGGTAAAAATATTTAAATAAATAAAAATAAATACATTAGAGTGTTAATTTGGAGCCTTTGAAAGCCAAACGCTTCCTTCCGCCTAGTAAGGCAGGGGGGAGTTTGCTTTCTTCTTTCACTAAAGATACACCAGAAGTGAAGCTTTGACTGTGGCTGCCTAGCATTAGTAGGATTAGTAGCATTAGTTGCATTGCTGCCTGCGGTAAAAATATTTAAATAAATAAAAATAAATACATTAGAGTGTTAATTTGGAGCCTTTGAAAGCCAAACGCTTCCTTCCGCCTAGTAAGGCAGGGGGGAGTTTGCTTTCTTCTTTCACTAAAGATACACCAGAAGTGAAGCTTTGACTGTGGCTGCCTAGCATTAGTAGGATTAGTAGCATTAGTTGCATTGCTGCCTGCAGTCCCCCCCAGAGACTCAGGAAACCTCTGGTTAAATGTCACATGGACTCCTCCTACGCAGTGTTAGAAAACACAGAACTTAAAACAGCAGCATCTTGTCTTCCTGGGCTGCCATCCGGGGCCCTGGATCAGCTCTGGCAAAAGCAGGAAATGAGGGAAGAATCCTAGTGTATGCAGGGTGCAACTTGCACTCCCATCTGCAACCAGCTAGTTCTGCTGACTGTGGTGGGTGTAGGGCAGAGCTCTGACCCCACCACGAGCCCTCAGAGTCCA